TTTCTTCCTCTCTGGTTTCATCATGTTTCATTTTTTCCTCTCTTCCTCTGAATTTGTTTCTCAAATTCTGCATATCAGTGAGATCATATGATAATTGTCTTTCTCTGATTGACTTATTTTGCTTAGCATAATACCCTCTAGCTCTATCCACGTCCTTGCAAATGGCAAGATTTCATTTTTTTGATGGCTGCATGATATTCCATTGTGTGTGTATATATATATGTACCACATCTTCTTTATCCATTCATCTGTCAATGGACATCTAGGCTCTTTCCATAGTTTGGCTTTTGTGGACATTGCTGCTATAAACATTGGGGTGCACATGTCCCTTCGGATCACTACATTTGTTATCTTTGGGGTAAATACCCAGTAGTGCAACTGCTGGGTCATACAGTAACTCTATTTTCAACTTTTTGAGGAACCTCCATACTATTTTCCAGAGTGGCTACACCAGCTCGCATTCCCATCAACAGTGTAAGAGGGTTCCCCATTCTCTGCATCTTCGCCAACATCCGTTGTTTCCAGACTTGTTAATTTTAGCCATTCTGACTGGTGTGAGGTGGTATCTCATTGTGGTTTTGATTTGTATTTCCCTGATCTATAACCCTTTCTTAAGAACCTCCCCTGTCCACAGCCTTGAAGGGGCTGTCCCTGTGACCAATGTCTACTATGCTAGCCATGCTTATTGGTTTTGGGTGAACATATGCCCAAAAGTCAGTCCAATTCTCTTCCCCAAAATCTGGGGTTGGTACCACAGGCCAAAACAGACTGTGAAGAGCCTCAGGTAAGGGACGGAAATGCCATTTGGGAAAAACCTTCACAGGCCAAGTAGAAGCAGATGACTAAGCATTGAAGACAACTGTTAGAGACAGGAAAATGATCATTCATGAAAGAGAAGTAGAAACAAGGGACTTTGGGGTCCAAGAGGAAAAGAGACACAGAAAATCTACCTGACCACTTTCTAACTCCCATAATGTCCGTGCTTCCTGCAATTGGATTCTGTAAGATTTATGTCCTAACAGTAAGCTTTCTTTAAAGAACTTTTTATTGTAAAATATATCATACATACAAAAGATGGCATGAAAAGGAGACACAAAGCTAAAAATGTTAATACCAATCCCTACTTAGTCAGTAATGAGGTAAGTATTCATACATTAGAAGTCCTCTGTCTAATGCCCCTTCCCAATCATATCTCCCCATATTCTGAATTCTGAGTAAATTATTCCCTTGTCATTCTTTATATATTTTAGGTATATTAATTACTGCTTTGTAAAAACTTCTCTATTTTCTTTTTCAAATTTTTATTTGAATTCTAGTTAGTTAAAACTTCTTTATTTTAGAAAAATTTAAATACGCACAAAATTAGAGAACAGTGGAACAGAGATTCATGTACTCATTATCTTCTCAACAACATTTTACATCTTGTTTCTTTTGTCCCCTACCTTCCTGCCCCACCACCACACACACAGTGGATTATTTAAAGCAAAGCGAAGACATCATTATATTCATTTAGAACACATCTCTAAAGAAAAAGACTTTCAATATAGGTATGGTACCATTATCGTTCCTACAAAATCGGCAATTCCTTAATATCATTTAATACACAATCCACATTCAAATGCCTCCAATTGTCTCAGATTTTTTTTCTAACAGCCAATTTGTTTGAAATCAGGATCCAAATAAGGTTCACACACTAGATTTAGTTTATGTGTGTCTTAGGTCTCTTAATCTATATCATTCCTCACCCCATTGTTTTTCATAAAATATATTTGTTGAAATGAAAAGTCATATGACCTGCAGACTTTCCCACATTCTGAATTTGGCTGACTGAATTTTCATGATTTCATGATTCTTCTACTCACTGTAATTACCTGTAAATTGATCTTAGATCTAGAGCTGTGCTGTCTAATACAGTAGCCATTAGCCTGTAGCTCAATTTAAATTAATTAAAATTAAATAAAAATTAAAATTCAGTCTCCTAGTCTTATTAGCCACATTTCAAGTACGCAATAGCCACAGGTTGCTAGTGGGTACTGGATGGCACAGAAACATTTTCATCATCAAAGAAAATTATTTTGGATGGTGTTGACCTAGAGATTTAGATTCAGGTTCAGTTTTGATCTCACAGGACTACTCCAGACATGGCACATTAAGTTCCCATTGCATCACATCAGGAAGCACAAAATATATGCTTGTCACAACTTTAATGACATAAAGATTGGTGAGTGGGTTCATGTTCTCAGCCTTTATTTCACCTAATGGCTTTAGTAGCCATTCATGATCACTGTCTAAAATAGATCCATCATTTCATTAGAGACTAGAAAATGATTTTCATAATTCTAGCACCTTCTACATTTATGAGTTAGAATTCTTCTATTAAAAAAAAAAAATCTCCTTCCCATCAACCATTTGGTTCCTCTGAAGTATTACTCATAAAAGAAAGGCAGGATAAAAAAATTGAGTCTTCCGGGGCACCTGGGTGGCTCAGTCATTAAGCGTCTGCCTTCGGCTCAGGTCATGATCCCAGGGTCCTGGGATCGAGCCCTGCATCGGGCTCCCCACTCCGCGGGAAGCCTGCTTCTCCCTCTCCCACTCCCCCTGCTTGTGTTCCCTCTCTCACTGTGTCTCTCTCTGTCAAATAAATAAATAAAATTTAAAAAAAAAATTGAGTCTTCCCTAATTGTCAGAATACTAAGTTAGAATCATAGCAATCTCCATATAATGATTTGGAGGTTTTGTAAAGTATTGTTAGTAACAAGCAGTTTTTAACATATTTTATGTGTTTCAAGTTTTCCTAGTTTTGGCCATTGGGAGCTCTTCAGAGTTGGCTCCTGTGTCCGTGTAGTCTGGCTTATAGCAAAAGTTCCAGGCTCATCTTATAAATGCTCTGCCCCAGCCATTTCTCTAAGGAGTCCTGGTTCTTTCTGATGAGAAAAGGTATACACAGCAACCACATGAATAAGGGAACCCTGAGAGGTGCCTGGGTGGCTCAGTGGGTTAAGTGTCTACCTTCGGCTCAGGTCATGATCTCAGGGTCCTGAGACTGAGCTCCACATCAGGCATCCTGCTTAAACAGGGAATCTGCTTCTCATTCTCCCTCCGCCCCTCCCACTCCATGCTCGTTCTCTCTCTCTCTCAAATAAATTACATTAAACTAAATTTTAAAACGGGAACCATGAGTTAATGGCTTTGCCTAATACATTCAACAGACCTTTACTAGGTCCCTGCTACATGCCAAGCACCATATTCCATCCTGGGAATACAGTTAAATTAGACATGACTTGTGCCCTTAAAGAGCTCAATCTACAGAGAAAGAGAAACTCATAAACAGACAATTGTAATACAAATGTGTTATTATTTAGAACAGAATTATGCCCTTGATATCACAGGAACATGGGGGTATTTAATTTAGGGAAGAAAGGTGATCAAAGGACTTTTCCTGAAAGATATGGCAATTATGCTATCTTAAAGAACAAGGAGGACTTGCCCACAGGCAAGGGCATTGAAAAAGGGCATTTCAGGTAGAGAGGATTCAATGAGCAAAAGAACACACACCAAAAAACACCATGGCATAACTACAGAACAATGATGAAAAAATTAATGAAGACACAAAAAAATGGAATGACATCCCATGTTCATAGACTGGAGCTTCAGACTGTTAAAATGTCCATATTAGGGGTGCCTGGGTGGCTCAATCGGTTAAGTGTCTGCCTTCAGCTCAGGTCATGATCTCAGGGTCCTGGAATTGAGCTCCATGTGGGCTCTCTGCTCAGCGGGGAGTCTGCTTCTCTCTCTGCACCCCCCCCCACTTGTGCTCTCTCCCTCTCCCTCTCTCTCAAATAAATAAAATCTTAAAAAAAAAAAAAAAAGGAAAGAAAGATAAACAAAACTGGAGATATCATACCTCCTGGTTTCAAAATATATTACAAAGTTACAAAAATTAAAAGAGTATGGCATAAAGACAGACCTATAGACCAATGAAACAGAGTAAGAGTCTAGAAATCTATCTGTACATATATGATCAATTGATCTTCAAAAAGGGTACCAACAATACACAATGGGGAAAGGATAGTCTCTTCAACAAACTGTGTTGGAAAAACTGGATATCCACATGCAAAAGAATGAAATTGGACCCTTATTTCACACCATACAAAAATAAACTCAAAATGGATTAAAAACATGAGACTTAAACTATAAAGCTCCTAGAAGAAAACGTAGGGGAAAAGCTTCATGACATTGGTCTCACAACAAAGCTTCACGATTTTATGGATATGACACCAAAAGCACATGTAACAAAAACAAAAATAGACAAGTGGGACTACATCAAACAGAAAAGCTTCTGCATAGCAAAGGAAACAATCAACAGAGGAAAAGACAACCTATGAAGTGAGAAAAAATATTTGCCAACCATTTATCTGAAAAGAGGTTAATTTCCAAAATAAATTTAAATCTCCTATAACTCAATAGCAAAACAATCCAATAACCCGATTTAAAAATGGGCTTAAGACTGGAATATACATTTCTCCAAAGAAGACATCCAAATGGCCAAGAAGTATACGAAAATATGTTCAACATTACTAGTCATCAGGAAATGCAAATCAAAACCACAAAAATGAGATATCATCTTACACTGTTAGGATGGCTATTATCAAAACAACAACAACAACAACAGACAAGTATTGCAGAGGATGTGTAGAAATTGGAACCCTTGCACCTACATGAGAATGCAAAATGGTGTAGCCACTATGGAAAACGGTATAAAGATTCCTCAAAAAATTAAAAATAGAATTACCATATCATCTACCAATCCCATTTCCAGGTATTAATCCAAAAGAATTTAAATCAGGATCTCAAAGAGATATTAGCACTCCAATATTTCAGTGTGGCACTAGTCACAATAGCCAAGATGTGATAACAACCTAACTGTCCACTGACAGATGAATGGATAAAGAAAATGTGGTAGATACATACAATGGAATATTATATTTTTTAAGAGAAGGAAATCCTGCAACATGTGGTAACATGGATGAACCTTGAGAACATTATTTCAAGTGAAATAAGCCAGTCACAGAAGGACAAATATTGTACAATTCCACTTATACAGGTATCTAAAATAGCCAAACCCATAAAATCAGAGAATAGAATGATGTTTGTCAGGGCCTACAGGGAGAGGAAAATGTGGAGTTGCTAATCAATGGGTATAAAATCTAAATTATATAGGATGAGTAAGTTCTAGAGATGTGCCGTACAATATTGTGCCAATAATTAACAATACTGTATTGTACACAAAAAAATTTAAAGGAAATATTTAGAAGCACTTCACAGAAATAAAAAGAATAAACATTAGTAAAATAAACAAAACACCACGGCTGTTCAGTGTGTATAGCAAGTTCAGTGTGTGCAGAGACCTGAGCCAAGAGACACAAATCCCATCGATTCAACTCAATACTTCACGAATCCCTAACAAGTGCCTGGCTCCACACTAGATCCTGGAGATGATGCACTAAAGCAGACACAGTTCTGGCCCTCATGAAGCTTTCAGTCCAGCAGGGAAGACTGAGAAGGACCTCTATCCCACAGATGATCAAAAATTTTAAGCTTAAGTTTAAGCTAGGAAATGACATGGTCAAATTTGTATTTTGGGGTAGGATTCTATAGCAGCTGATGGTAAGATGGATCTTACCGGATCAGATAGGAGACCTTGGCAAAGTTCACATGAGAGATAATGAGGACCTAGTAGTGATACCTGAGACAGAGTAGAGAGGACTCGATTAGAAAATCATTAGGTGGTCAAATTTTTTAGGATGCCCATGCTGGCCGCGCTTATTTCCTTACTAAATGTTCACAAACCATTTGTGACATATTCTAGAACTTTGCTGAGAAGCTGCTTCAAGTTTAATGGTCTACAGATTCTGGATTCTAATCTCTTTTCCCCTTTGGAAATTGATACAGAGGTTCATTTCTAGTCCCTGACAGTCCTCAAAGATAGCACACAATTATAATTGCAGGTTCTTTCAGGACCCTGGATGTAGTAGTCACCTGTGGATCTTTTGGCTTTCAAATACTCAACCTTCTCCTGGAGGGGACTGACTTTGTAAACAGTACACAAGAAGTCAGAATGGAAGACCCTTCTTTTTCCAAATACAGGAAGTTAAGGACCAGGCACATGACCTAAAATATCCCCACCAAGAACTGGAAATAGCAGTGGCACAAAGGAGGGAGGAATGCATCTAGTGGCAGCCAAACAGCCCTCACCAAATTGTTCTTGCTGCTTAGCCTCTGGACCAGCCTACTCTTTGGCTTTCCAACAATGTGGTGAGCCTCCTATATTCTTCCAATAATCCATTTTCTGCTTAAGGCAGCCAAAATTAATTTCTATTGCTTGTAATCAAGAACTCTGACCAAAAGACCTGGATAGCATTTGCTTGGATCCAAAAATCTGAACTTAAAATAGTTAGATATCCTATCTTCGTTCTGATCATCTTTATTATTACAGCCAAGACCCAGTGTTCCTTAGTGATCCTTACTGTACATGTCAATTACTTTCTAAGCATTTTGTAGGCATCATCTTTTTGATTCCTCACTGAGGTTGATACTACCATTACTTTTTTATCATTCAAGAAATTGAAGCTCAGCAAAATCAAGTAACTTGCCCAAGATGGCCAACAAACAGGCAGTCCAAGTCCAAAGTTAGCTCTCTTAATAACTATATTACACACTGACTCTTCAAATCTTTATTGTGAAATATAACACAAAGAAAAGTACACAAAAATGTGCAGCTCAATAAATTATCACAAAGCAAACACCTATATAAACTACTACCTAGGCCAAGAAACAGATCATTCCCAGCACTTTATAAGCCCCATTAATGACCCTCCCAATCATTACTTGTTCCCTTCCTCCATAACCATTGTCCTAACTTAGGGAATCATTTTCTTGCTTTTCTTTATACTTGGGCCACCTAAATATGCATTCCTAAATAGTGTTGCTTTATTCTGCCTGAATTCTATATAAAGAGAAATAATGCAGAATATTTTAAGACTAGCTTCTTTCACTCAACATTATGTTTGAAAGACTCAACTATGTTGTTGCAGGTAAGCTTATTCGTTTTCATTGCTATATAATATTCCATGAATATACCATAATTTATCAATATACCATTGATGAAATTTGGGTTCTTTCTAGTTTTTGGCTATTATGAATGATGCTGCTATGAGTATTTTTGTTCATGTCTCTTGGTACACATGTGCACGCATTTATTTTGTATATAAACCTAGGAATGGAATGGTTGAGTCATAGAAATGATAAACATTGGTAGACAATGCCAAACTATTTTCCAAAGGGGTTGTACCAAATATGCACTCCTGCTGGTATTGAGGAACATTCCTATTACTCTGTACCCTTTCCAATACTTGGTCATATTAGTTTTTATTTGGGCCATTCTGATTGGTGTATGCTTTTAGTTTGCATATCACTGATGACTTATGTTTCTTGACCATTTGGAAATCCTTTTATAAAATGCCTGTTCAAGTCTCTTGCCTATTTTACGGTTGGAGTGTCTTTTTTTTTTTTTTTTTTTAATCAAATGATCCTTTATTGAAGTATTTTCCTTTGTAGCCCTCAATAGCTGGGCATTCCACTGTACCACTGTTGATGTCATCTATGATGTCATGAGGGTGGCAGCCTTCAACATCACAGCCCACAGTATGGCAGTCCCTAGGGTCTCTCTTTTTTTTTTTTGGCTGGGTACAGTATACTTTATAGATGGCACATGACAAGGTAGGGCTCCCCAAGCCCCTCCCCTTCTTCAGGGGGTCTGGGATGGAAATGGTGGAGGTCGGGAGATTTTCAGTGTTTTGGGGGATAAGTTGGGGCAGGGACTCCCCAGCAGCTGAGGGCCTCTCTTCCTCTTGCTCTCCCTGGGGCTGGTGGTCCAGGGGGCTCTTACTCCTTGGAGGCCATGTGGACCATAAGGTCCACCACCCGGTTGCTGTAGCCGAATTCATTGTCATACCAGGAAATGAGCTTGACAAAGTGGTCGTTGAGAGCAATGCCAGCCCCGGCATGGAAGGTGGAGGAGTGGGTGTCACTGTTAAAGTTGCAGGAGACAACCTGGTCTTCAGTGTACCCCAGGATGCCCTTGAGGGGGCCCTCTGATGCCTGCTTCACCACCTTCTTGATGTTGTATTTGGCAGCTTTCTCCAGGCGGCAGGTCAGATCCACGATGGACACATTGGGGGTGGGGACACGGAAGGCCATGCCAGTGAGCTTCCCATTCAGCTCAGGGATGACCTTGCCCACAGCCTTGGCAGCGCCAGTGGAAGCAGGGATGATGTTCTGGGCAGCCCCTCAGCCGTCGTGCCACAGCTTCCCAGAGGGGTTGTCCACAGTCTTCTGGGTGGCAATGATGGCATGGACGGTGGTCATGAGTCCCTCCACGATGCCGAAGTTGTCATGGATGACCTTGGCCAGAGGAGCCAAGCAGTTGGTGGTACAGGAGGCATTGCTGACAATCTTGAGAGAGTTGTCATACTTCTCATGGTTCACACCTATCACGAACATGGGGGTATTGGCAGAGGGAGCAGAGATCATGACCCTCTTGGCCCCGCCCTTCAAGTGAGCCCCAGCCTTCTCCATGGTGGTGAAGACCCCAGTGGACTCCACAACATACTCAGCACCAGCATCACCCCATTTGATGTTGGCGGGATCTCGCTCCTGGAAGATGGAGATGGACTTTCCATTGATGACAAGCTTCCCGTTCTCAGCCTTGACTGTGCCGTGGAATTTGCCATGGGTGGAATCATACTGGAACATGTAGACCATGTAGTTGAGGTCAATGAAGGGGTCATTGATGGTGACAATATCCACTTTGCCAGAGTTAAAAGCAGCCCTGGTAACCAGGTGCCCAATACGGCCAAATCCGTTCACTCCAACCTTCACCATCGTGTCTCGGGGATGCAGCTGGCACTGCACCAGAAGATGCGGCTGTCTGTCGAACGGGGAGGAGCAGAGAGCCAGTCCCTAGGGTCTCTTTAACGGTTCCAGAGAGTTCTCTAACTAAAGATGGGTGTCCCATCTGTCCAGCAATGTCAACAATCTCATCAAAACTGGTATTTCCATTGTACTTAATATTTTTCTGCTTCTTTCTATACCTTGGCAGTTCCTTGAGGGCTTTGATAATGAGGGCAGAGGCAGAAAGTACTACCTCAATTTGGACCTGTCTGTCCTGAATGGCCATCTTCACTGTAATCCTCAGACCCTTTCCAATCACCAGTTGCTTGGCTAGGTCACCATTACCCTTTTTGGAAGAAAGACTCAAGAGGCCAATCTTGGGGGCCTGGACAGACAGAGCACCAACTTCCCCACTGGTACACTTCAGGTAAATGATTTTTATTTCACTGGGGTTGAATTTAGGCACCACGGTGCAGGCAGCTGATGTCAGATGAACCCGGTTAAGGACAGCCAAAGAAAGTTGCACCTTGGCCACCTCTGAGCCAAAAGCTGCAAGCTGGATTGTATTTTTATTACTTATAGCAGTTCTAAATACAAACCTTTTGTTAATTACATGTGTTACAAATACCTGCTTCTACTCTGTGATTTACCTTTTCACTCTTTTTTTTTTTTTAATTTTTTATTTATTTATTTGAGAGAGAGAGAGAGAGAAACAGCATGAGAGGGGATAGGGTCAGAGGGAGAAGCAGGCTCCCCGCTGAGCCGGGAGCCCGATGTGGGACTCAATCCCAGGACTCCGGGATCATGACCTGAGCCGAAGGCAGTCGCTTAACCAACTGAGCCACCCAGGCGCCCTACCTTTTCACTCTTTTAATGGTGTCCTTTGATGATGCAAAGTTCTTCATTTTAATTTGTCAAAATTTATCACTTTTCCTTTTTAGCCATTTGTATGTCCTATTTGAGATGTCTTCCCCTACACTGAGGTCAATATATTCTCCTAGATTATCTTTTAGGAGCTTATTGTATTGTCTTTAACATGTTGGTATGCAATCCAACTAGAATTGATTTTTTGTGTGTATGGTGTGTGAGGTAAGGATCAAGTTTCTTTTCTTTCCCTTCTTTCCTTTCTCTTGGGCTATTCAGTAGTCCCAGCAATATTTACCATTCTTTCCTCACTGCTCTACAGTACAATCTTTATTGCAAATCAAAGATTTTGTTTCTAGGATTGTATTCTATTCCTAGGACCTATTAGACTATTCCATAAAAGCTTTAGACTAAATCTTGACACCTAATAGAGCAAATGTTTCCAACTTGTTTTTATTCACTCAAGTATTTTTATATATGCTATTTATGGCCTTTCATTCCTCTACATATTTTTTAGAACCAGCTTGTCAAATTTCCATGCAAAAACTCCGGCAAAACCCTGCTGGGATTTTTACTGGGATTATTTTATTTATATATCAAGTTGGGGAGAACTGACACTTTACAATATTGAGTCTTTCAATCTAAGAATATATCTTTCCATTTATTTATTCTTTCATTTCTTTCAATAACTATAGGATTTTGGCCACAGAAACAAGATGACAAAGGGGACAGCATCATCTGGAAAGTGTTGCAGTAAGACGTGCACATTGTGCCACCACCGTGGTTCTAAGGCCTATCACCTTTGGAAGTCGACCTGTGGCAAATGTGCTATCCTGCCAAGAGGAAGAGAAAGTATAACTGGAGTGCCAAGGCTAAAAGACAAAATACCACTGGGGCTGGTCAAATGAGGAAGCTAAAAATTGTACACCCCAGATTCAGGCGTGGATTCCATGAAGGAACATCACCTAAACCCAAGAGGGCAGCTGTTCAGCACCCAGTTCTTCCTAAGGATTTCAACAATTAATCACACAATAAATGTTCTGGTTTTTAAAAATAATAATAATGTATTATAATCTTCTGCACAAAGACTTTGCATATATTTTGTGGGATTTATTCCTAGGTATTTGAACTTTCTTTACTCTATGGTAAATAATATTTTCATATATTTTTTAACTTCATTGCTGGTATAGGCCCACTACATTTTATTGTGCTTCACTCTATTGCACTTTGCAGGTATTGCATTTTTGACAAATTGAAGGTTTGTGGCAACCCTGTGTCAAGCAAGTCTAACAGCACCATTTTTCCAACAGCATTTGCTCACTTCATGTCTGTGTCACACTTGATAATTCTTGCAATATTTCAAACTTTTTCATTATTATTATTTGTTATAGTGATCTATCATCAGTGAATACACCTCTGCTGAAAGCCCAGATGACGGTTAACATTTTTTAGCAGTATTTTTTAAGGTATTATACTTTTTTTAGACATACTGCCATTGCACATTTAAAAGACTACAATATAGTATAAACATCACTTTTATATGCACTGAGAAACCAAAGAATTTCACTTCACTTGCTTTATTGCAATATTTGCTTTATTGCAGTGGTCTAGAACTGAACCTGCAATCTCTCTGAGATAAGTTTGTATATATAAACATAATGAAATTTTGCATATTGGCTCTGTACCCAGCAATGTGGCCAAACTTATTAGTTCTAATAACTGATCTACAGATTCTTCTGGATTTTCCATGTATATAGTCATCATCGGCAAACAATAGATTTAACAGGATTCTTTTCTAATTTTCATATATTCTCTTTCTTGCCTGACTGTATTAGCTAGAATATCCAATAAAATGATGAATATTAAGTGAGGAGAGTGGGCTCCCTTGTCTTTTTCCCGATCTCAAGAAGAAAACTTTCTTTTTTTTTAATAAAGATTTTATTTATTTATTCATGAGAGACAGAGAGAGAGAGAGAGAGGCAGAGGGAGAAGCAGGCTCCCAAGGAGCAGGGAGCCCGATGTGGGACTCGATCCCAGGACCCTGGGATCATGACCTGAGCCGAAGGCAGACGCTTAACCATCTGAGCCACCCAGGCGCCCTCAAGAAGAAAACTTTCAAATCTCACCATTAAGTTTGATGCTGGTTATAGGTTTTTTGTAGATATGCTTTTTCTAATTAAGGAAGTTTTCTTTTATTCGTACTTTGCTATGAGTTTTGAATCATAAATGGAGGTTGAATTTTATCAAGCACTTTCTCTGCATCTATTAAACTGATCATTTTTATCCACTAGTATATATATTTTTTTAAAGATTTTATTTATTTATTTATTTGAGAGAGAGAGAATGAGAGACAGAGAGCATGAGAGGGAGGAGGGTCAGAGGGAGAAGCAGACTCCCTGCCGAGCAGGGAGCCCGATGCGGGACTCGATCCCGGGACTCCAGGATCATGACCTGAGCCGAAGGCAGTCGCTTAACCAACTGAGCCACCCAGGCGCCCTATCCACTAGTATATTAAAATGGTGATTTACATGGACTTTTAAAGAATGTCAAAGCCACCTTGCATTCCTGAAAAAACCCAACTTGGTCATATATATTCCTGGATTTAGTCTGCTAACATTCTGTTCATGACTTTTTGCATCTATGTTAATGAGTGAGATGAAACTGTGATTTTCCTTTCATCTGAGATCATTTTGATTCTACCTGAAGAATTTATTCCTTAAGTGCCAGTGTTCAGGTGACAAATCCTGTTTTTGACTGTCTGAAAATATCTTTATTTAACCTTCATTCTTAAAGACTGTTTTCCTGAAAAAAGAATTCTATATTGGTATTTCTTTCAGTATTCTAAAGACGATCTCGCTTGTACTGCTCTGTGCAGAAGTGAGCTGTCAGTCCAATTACTATTTCTCTGAAGGCAAACTGTAATTTTTCTCTGGCTACTTTTCTCTTTACTTTGCTTTTATAGCAATTTTTAAAAAAAGATTTTATTTATTTATGTGACAGAGACACAGCGAGAGAGGGAACACAAGCAGGGGGAGTGGGAGAGGAGAAGCAGGCTTCCTATGGAGCAGGGAGCCTGATGTGGGGCTCGATCCCAGGACCCTGGGATCATGCCCTGAGCCAAAGGCAGACGCTTAATGAATGAGCCACCCAGGCGCCCCTATAGCAATTTAAAAAAAAAAATTTTTTTTTTGAAAGAGACAGAGACAAAGCACATGAGTGAGAGCTGGGGGAGGGGCAGAGGAAGAGCAAGACAGTCTCAAGCAGACTCCCTGCTGAGTGCAGAGCCTGACATGACTGGGCTCCACCTCACAACCCATGAGATCGTGACCTGAGTAGAAACCATGAGTCAGACGCCTAACTTACTGACTCACCCATGCACCCCAGTTTTATAGCAGTTTTAACTTAATGTGAATCTACTGTAGATTTCACTGTACTTATCCTGCTTGGGATACATAGGGCTTCTTAAATCTGTGCATTCCATTAGCTTTGGAAAATTCACAGCTATTATCTCATCAAGCATTGCTTCTGTCCATTCTTGCTCTCCTCACCTTCTAGGACTCCAATTATATAAATGTTAGACCTTTTCACCATATCTTCTCTGTGTCTTACCTCTTTCCTGAATTTCCCATTGTTGCATTTTTAAATATTTTCTTCTGGATATTTTCTTCTGACTTTTCTTCTGACCAGGTCACTATTCTCTCTTCAGACATAGTAACTTTTTGCTAAGCCTATCAACTGAGTTCTAAATTTTCATCTGTTTAACTACAGAATTTCTATTTGGTTCTATTTTTTTTTTTAAGATTGTATTTATTTGACAGAGAGAGAGAGCACAAGTAGGCAGAGAGGCAGGCAGAAGCAGAGGGACATGCAGACTCCCTGCCGAGCAGAGAGAGCCCGATACAGGACTCAATGCCAGGAGCCCAGGATCACAACCTGAGCCTAAGATAGTCGCTTAACCAACTGAGCCATCCAGGCACCCTATTTGGTTCTATTTTTATAAATTTCAATTCTTTGCCAAATTTATCAAACTTGTCTTTTATCTTGAACATAATAAATATAATTATGTTTCAGTCTGTTGCCCCTTTGGATCCATTCATTCTATTGTTTGATTTTTGTTCATGTTCTCTTCCAGGAATCTGGTTATTAATCAAATGTACCAGAAACTGTTCTCATAAAATTGTTTGTAGAAACAATCTGAAGCCTAATCTAAATAAACCTCCAGAGGTTTGCCCTTGCTTCTTCCACATACCTGGGGACTCTAGCAGCCTGGGAGCACCTTAACCCAATTTCATGAACTTAGATTTTTCTGAAACTGAGCTGCACTCCCTACAATGGCCTATTTCTAATTTACCCTTACTTCCAGAACATGGCCTTTCATAGTTCCAACCCAGAGAAAAGGGAGTTCACCAGGGTTCCCCCTATTTGACTGGTTCTGAACATTCCTTGTTGCTTTAGTCCAGAGAGGCACATTCACAGCCTTGACAAGCTTCCTCACTCAAG